CAGTTTACCACCTCATGGCTCAGGAGGCCACAGTCCAAAACAAGTCTTCAGGAGCATCTTTATGTCCTGTCGGGAGGCTCCAGAGAAGACTTGGTCCTTTCCTTGCCTTTCTGGCTGCTAGCTTTGATTATATCCTAGCCAGACACTTCATCCCAACCTCTGTATCTGAACCTTGCCTCCCTGGATCCATCTTACCACAAACATTCATTACACCTGCAAAAAAATCGCACCTGTAGGGACCTATTTCCCTGACACACCTACAAAGTGTGTGCCCAAAGATTAGGAGGGTGGTGAATCTTGGGTGGGGGACACCATTCAGCCTCTCTTAATGAGCTGTAGCCTGTAGGTATCATCAGCCTGTGGGTACCAGGAGCTATACAACATATAGACTTTATAGACTTACAGCAACCCCAAGGAGTAATGAATGACACAACTAAGCATATCTTTTCCTGACATCACTAGCTTGTGGGAGCATCCTTTCTGGACCTTGGTAACATGTCTTTCCTCCTAGCCATTCTGACCTCAAGTTAGGACAACCCCAGGCTTCGGGTGTGTTCTGACCAGGACAAAGACTCTTCCACTCCACACTCCTCATCCGCTTTGCCCCCTCCCTTCTCTACCCCGTGTCTGAGTACCCTACTAAGCAGGGTGAGACTCAAATTAAGTCTCTAATTCACTGCCTATGAGAAGTGTAATTGAAGCTTTTACAGAAAATCAAGTTATTATACAAAGTGAAAAGGATTCTTCTTTAAACAGCATGCTGGGCTCCCATCCAGCCAGGAGGAATCCAGGGAGAGTCCTGGGGCAGTGGGCTTGGTGTGTGGGATTTAAAACAGGAAAAGTGTTCAGCTAAACAAAACCTTCTGTTACTTATTAACACCGGGAAGCATTTTCAGGCGAAGAGACTGGCAGTTGCTGTGGGAAGTGCAGGCGGCGTCCTTGGAAAATGCAAGTCTCCGGGACAATCTCAACCCATGTGGAAGAAGAGACAGCACTCAGACTCAGCAAGCTCAGCAGGGGCCTGGTCACCTGGGCTCACACAGGAGCAGAGGCATGGAGTGACACGCACCATTTTCTCTAGAATGATCCAGCATGAGTCAGTCCAAGAAGGAGAGACAAGCATTGAGAAGGCAGGGCAGAGTCTAGCTGTGAGGTTCAGAGGGAGGCTGTGGGAGAGCCAGGGGAGGCTAGAACTGATCAAAGGACCACCCTCCATCATCCAAGAGGTTCTGGCCTCATTAAGAAACAAAACTATTAAGGTGAGCATCCAAACTGCCTAGGCTCCCACAAAGCGAGTACGTGCAGTAGGATCAAAAACCCATTGCCATTGTTCTTGAGCTCTCAGTAGTCCTCATTGTGTGCTATGTTCAGCGAGTCCAGTTTTATCCCATGATTTTTCAGACCCGGGCCAGCTGGCCTTGGTGAGTTCCTGATAGAACATCCCCATTGTCTCAGTGTGTGGGTGCACCCCTCGTGGTCCTGAGTTCCTTGCTTGTGCTCTCTAGACCTGGTGAGTGGTCCTTGGACTTCCCACAGGGCAGGGAACCCTGATTGTTCTTTGGGCTGATGAGGGAGGGGGACTTGGTGGGGGGAGGGGGGAAAATGGGAGGGGATGGCGGGGAGGAGGCAGAAATCTTTAATAAATAAAAAAAAAGAAAAGAAACTGGAAAAAAAAGAAACAAAACTACTACATTTATTTAGGGGGAGATCAGAGGACATCTTGCAGAAGTCCGTTCTCCCCTTCTACCTTTTGAGTCCTGGGGTTGAATTCAGGTCCTCAAGTTTGGTGGCAAGTGCCTTTACCCACTGAACCACCTTGCCAGCCCCCCTCCCTCGTTTTTTGGCCTCCCACCTGTCCCTATGCTCTATTCAGTAAAAGGGTGATTCAGTATACTTGGTGAAACAAACTTATGCTCCAAAAGAAGGCTTGGCTCCTACTAGCTCCAGAAGGTGACTTCTCACCCGTCAATCCTTAGTCTGGTAAAGTCCCCTGGCACACTCTTTGAAGCCTGCAGGTCTTGGCTTAGGGTGGAGCTTTGGGTCACACGGTATCAGTAGAGTAGCGAGGACTAGGACTAAGTGGCTAAAGTGTCCCCATGACCGACTACCGCAGCAGACCCACCAGCCTGGTGGGCTCCCAAGGGGCCATGCTCCAGCCTGGTATCACAGTGCGCAGCTGACTCTGCTAACAGAGGAGCCCCTGGTCACTCTCTCCTAGACACTGGCCAGCCTCCCTGCACCCTCCTCCTTCATCTGCTAACACAGCTCCTTGACTGTGGCTCCTAGGCTGTGGCTATGAACTCCAACTTTCCTGCATCCCGCGAGGCCCCTGCTCAATCACGGAAGCAGAGAGATGTTTCCACGCTAACCAGGGAGAGCACAACCCTTGAGCAGTTCTCCACAGTCTGAGCTACTCTGGAAACCACCACCAGGGTCTCACCGCCAAGAAGAAAACCCCAGGAAAAGGCCATCTGCACTGTCCATGGGGCACCTCGGTCTCGAAGGGCAGGGAATGGCAGCTGGATCACACCTGGCTCACAGCAGGCCACAGCAGCTGGCCTCCCTCCAGTTTGGGGATACTATAATAAGATGGGGGGGAGGGACACACTTGGGATTCTGCACAGGGTACGCACGCTGGCTGGAATCTGTTGAGAGAATGTCACTTTTGTCTGTGGATACACAATGCACAGTGTGTTGAGCCAGGTGGGACGCACAGCTGTGATGAGGACCATCAGAGTGACAGGCCAGCACGGCAACGAACTCACAACTGCTCAGTTGCCAAAGCAAATAGCTCCAAACCGTGTGTCACTGTGTCCAGAAATGGCACTTTTTTAACTGGACGGCTTTAAGTGGAGCCTCTTAAGGACTTTACAGCAGGGCGGGGCCAGGCACTCTGCAGGTGCGCACTGCTGTGTAAAGCCCAGTGTGCTGAGGGGACGCCACTTGTTATTACTGTTTGGCTTTTACTTAAAGGTTTTTTGGGGGGGTGCTATTATTTATTATAACCAATGGGAGTCTCCAACACGTGCAGACGGCCATATCTGCTTTCCATCAGAGGACAGGTGCACTATCCTTGTGTAAGTCAGCAACATTGTCACTAGAGACATGGATCCAGCCATCCTCCCGCACGTGGTAGGGGCTGACTGAACCTCCAGAGTAGGCATCGCCGTGGGTGGCTCGGTAGATGGCTCAGTGGGCCAGATTATAAGCCTGCTCCACTTCTAGGTCATAGGAGTAGCCTCGATCCATGACCCCATAAGCACACATGGAGCCCGAATCCAATGAGAAGGCAGTTCCAGAGATCTGGTTCCCCTCACTTGTCTACATAGTAGAGGCTGTGGCCTCCCTTAGCCCAACCACAGATCATGGCGCCCATGGACAGCCCCATGCCTTCATACTAATACACCATGTTGCAAGAAATTTGGAGGCTGCTGTGACAGAGATGCGTTCCTTATTTCGAAGCTCACAGATTCGACATTGCTGAGCCAACAGCTGCTCCCAGAAGCTGCAATCGACTGCACGCCCAGCCATGGTGCCCAGAAGGTAAGGGTTGATCTCTATCACTTTCTCCACTGTCTGGGAGGCAATGTAAGCTCCTGCTGTGGCCTGGGAATCAGCTGCAACAATGATTCCACGGTGAAACTTGAAGGCCAGGATGGTGGGTCCATGAGGCATTTCAATTCTCGGCTCCTCTGGGACACCCCAGCTGGGTGCAGTCAGGCTCAGCCCATCACCAGTCCATCACCCAGGTCCAGCAGATCTGCATGACCTTTGAGTCCAAAAACTCCAAGCTGGTTACAAGCATGGGCTGCTATAACAAGCTGACCAGTGCCCATCTCTAGTAAGCTACTTAAAGTTTGTTTTTGTTGTTGCTCTCAACTTTTGATAAAGTCTCACAATGTAACCCAGGCTAGCCTTGATGTAGCCTAGGCTGGCCTTAACTCTTAAACCTGCCTTAAGCTTCAAGTAGAGTATATAGCATCTCACCAGCTCTCAGCCATTTGCTGTTATAACCGTAGAAGCACTGCAAAGAAAACATTTTAAAACAGCCGGCTAACAAAAAAACAAAAAACAACAACAACAAAAAAAAAAAACTTTGATGCAAAGGAGCTTCCAAGTCCTGAAGAAGCCACACAACAAATGTCTCATGGACACACTGACATGGCACCTGAGCTATGAACCAACAGCTACAACCAACCAAGGGACATTGTGTTACCCAGGGCCCGGCGTGTGCACACAGACATGTACAGTCAAAGCAGAGTACACCAAGGCAATACCCACAGGATGTCACTTGTGCCCAGGGAGGCTGCATGCTCAGCTCTCAGGAGGGGGGCCATTCCCGTTACCCTGTCACTGGCCTGTATCATCAGGGAGTCCTCAGATATGGCAGGAAAGGAGAACTCGTGGATGTCCCCAGGTGACCTAAGACCTATCTCCCTGACCTGTACCATTAGAAGCCAAAATCTGCAATGACCAGGTCTCAGCTGCACTACCCAGCCCTCCCCCTGCACCCCACCCATGAATCAGAGATAGAGCCACTGGCCTTAGAAGCATCAGCAGCGAAAGTGTTGTCCATGCAGTTCGTCAGAACGTGGCGACCCACAGGGGCTATTGGAGTGCTAAGGCTTAAGGGTAGAGACGAGCTCTGCACTCCGGACCCATCCCTGTAAACTTACACCAGCTCCAGCACTCAAACCAGGACCCTGGTCCAGAGCTGGAGAGGTGCATTCAGGTAGGCAATGATCTGTGGTGGGGTTAATTTGCTGATCTTATTACCTAAATCGAAAGCGATTTTGCAGCTGTCAGTAACACGCTTGCAAGATTTCCCTGGTGTGAACCCAGAGGCCCCCCTTCCACACAACCTTGGCCGCTGACAATAGGCAGCCAGAGTGTGCTGTGAAAGCGCCTGGTTCAGGAAGAGGATGTCTATACAACTCCAGTATGTGTCGATCGCATCAAGATGAAAGGGCCTGCCCTCCCGGCGTCACTGTGGAACTCACCTGATCCCTTTGTTCTGCGCGATGCTGTGCAGAGAGAGTCTGGACACTGCAGAGATGACCTGGGGAAGAGAAGAGAGAGTTCTGTAACATCAGCCCATCAGGAAGTCATCGCAAATGGCACCAGGCGTTCTGCAAGCGTGGAAACTGTTAACTAAGCACACCTCGTAAGAACGACACAGAGCTTTCCGGGCTCAGCACCTGTGCGGTATTTACTCCGTGAAATCTGTCATTTGGCCACGTTAATATTTGATGAGAGCTGCCGTGCTCGTGGTAGGGTGCCTCAGGGAGGAATGGGTTCCCATTCATGTGACTGTGCTTCTTCACTAACCCCTGGTCAGCTACAAACCTCCAAACTGCTTTTTATAGCAGACGGAAGAAATGCTTCACTGGGGTTGCTGTGGGTCTGTCTTAACTAAGGTCACCCCTACAAAAGGCTCATCCAGTGCTGCTATTCTAGAAGGGTCTATATGACTAATAGCAGCCCATGTCCACAGTAGGACTAACCTATCTTGGAGATGGAGAAATGGAGGCCCAGCGAGGTCCAGCGACTGACCATAGCCACACCATAGCTGTGGCGCCACACGGACACAAACATACATGTGGACACAAACATACATACATAGTGCTTGCTGCAAGCCCCAGTCCCATGCCTGACATCTCAACAGACACCGGCTCCCAGTCAGGATGCCAAAGGATAAGGAGGTCCAGGTACTGAGCCACGTGAATCCCCAGGCTGACAGATTCCTCAAAACCCAAGGCAAGCAGCAATGGGTATTCCTCAGCCCAAGCAACCCAGTCCAGCCCTAATCAGCCAGGAGCTTTGGACAGGTAGCTCTCCTAACCTCAGATGCCTCTGTTAGTCCACAGAGCTTCATCAGGACTCACGGAAAGGGAGGTGAAACGGGCCACAGTTGGGGACTCCACGGATCAATACTAAGAAGCTAAGGGAAGGGAGAAGGAAACAGCTGGCCCAGGAATAAAGGGTGTGACCTAACAAGGGACAGAAGGAGAAGCTGTTCACAGTTATCAACAGAATGGGTGGGAGCCAAGCATGCGTGATAGCAGGCACCAGGCACACACCTGAACCTTGAGACTACCACACGTGTCAGCCAAGTCCGTGTGTCCATGCAGGCTCCTGTGTGTCCTAGGGGTGTGAATGAGCACAACCGTGTTGTGTATATTACTTATATTTACGTATGTGCCTGCATGTGTGTGCTACAAGCTCTCGAGTGAGCTTTACGTGCATGTTCGTGTGCACATGTGCACCTGGGGTGGAGAAGAGAACCAGGAAAAGGGTCTTGGAAGCCACAGCTCACTCTGCAGACACCAGGCCCTGGCTGTCCTGGGAAACTGAGCTCAGAGGGCGTCACATATGTTACCCCATTGGATTCCCGGCCTCACCATCTCACTGCGCACAGTTGGTAAGCAGGAAAAGAGAGATGTGCTCACTTACACAAAGACCCCTGCAGGAACGCACTCCCCGGGGTTCCTTTAGGCTGTTCTGCACTCAGCAGCAATTTTCAAAGGAAAAACACCACAGCAAAGGCCTTTTCTATGCGCAGTGGGTGGTGGGCTCCGTCCACAGCTGAGTGTGTGTCTGGGCCTCCTGTCAGTGTCTATATTTCAGGGGCTGACACTCGGGGAAGTTATGATGGGGAATAACTGGGGTCCTCTGTGTTTGCTCAGACAAGTCTCAAAGGCTGATATGCAGCTGGCCCAGTCGTGGCCCCCACCAGCCGGCTCTACAAGGGGCCTTTTACAAATAACAAGCAAAATGGCTTTTGTTATTAGTTTTGGCTTTTAAAGGCTCTAAATATTTAGGGGGAATAAAACTTAAGGCAAAGCCAGGCAGTGGTGGTGCACACTTATAATCTCAGCACTAGGGAGGCAGAGGCAGGTGGATCTCTGTGAGTTCAAGGCCATCCTGGTCTACAGAGTGAGTTCCAGGACAGGTTCCAAAGCTACACAGAGAAACCTGGTCTCAGAAAACGAAAACAAAAACAAACAAACCAAAAAAAAAAAAAAAAAAACCATAAAAACACTTAAGGCAATATTATATTCTAGGTCCTGGAAATATAAGCCTTGAAGGATTTGGCTGGCCGACGGCACTCTCACCGCCCTTCTCATGCCTTGCTGTAGGACAATGGTCTTGTACCCTGTAAAGAGTTGTTAGTTGTATTTTAACAAAACGCTGATTGGCCAGTAGCCAGGCAGGAAGTATAGGCAGGGTGACCAGAGCAGGACTGGCAAGAGGAAAGGCTGAGTCTGTAGTTGTAACCCAGATGCAGAGGAAGCAATGATGCCTCACTGAAAAAGGTACCAAACCACGTGGCTAACACAGACAAGAATAATGGGCTAATTTAAGATGTAAGAATTAATTAGCAAGAAGCCTGAGCTAATAGGCCAACCAGTTTATGATTAATGTAGACCTCTGTGTGTTTCTTTGGGACAGAACGGCTGCAGGCCCAGGCGGGACAGAAACTTTCTGTCCACAATGCCTTCTGAGGCAGGTATTGCCAATCAATTGATATACACTTTCCTATGAGCCAACAGAGGCAAAGCAACATTAGCAGACTCCTAAGATAGCACCAGCCATCAGTCAGCCACAGTACAGAAAACCACACCTGTTTGCCAGCCCAGACTCAACAGCCAAGGCCTCATTCCCACAAGTGGAGACCATGACCGCCTACAGGCAGACAGACACAGGTCTTCCACATCCATGTATCTGTGGTCCCAGGGACCACATCCATGTGTACCCTGACAGAAGACAGATATTGCTCCTGCAGCTGCACTAAGCCTGGCCCTGGGTTTACATATCTTACTGTAAGACCAAAGTCACCATTAACAGATTGGAGAGGACTTGGAGACACGGCAGGAGGCAGAGCAGACAGATCCTTCCATGGCTTAAACATAACCAACTATGTTGGGGTGTCCTTCCCTCCATCCTAAGGTGCTATGTGCCCTCCATATGGCATCTGTATAGGGAGGGGAAACTGACTGGTGACCCCAGGCAGTGTCCTCAGAGACATATACAGGACCCCAAGAGAACTACGGTTACATGGGGCTGGAGGCTTCATGTGGAGCTTGATGAAGGGTGAGGGCAGAGCCAGCTCTTGCCACACAGGAAGAGCATCCAGTACCTCCCACCCCCACCATGCTACTCCATGTGGCTTCCCGCTCTCAGATTAGACAGCCAGGTGTCCCCAGGGCTAACACTCTCGGCTGACCATCAAAAGCCTCCCTGCCAGGGCCCCTGGGGACTTCTGAGCACGAAAATGTCAAATGATGACATTTTCCCAACTTTCATTTCCGCCTCCCAGCTGCGTCCCTGATAACAAACGGAGACACCCCCGCTCCTCCCCGCTCTCCTCAGACAGCCAGCTCCATCCTCGGGGCTTTCACTAGCCCACCTGAGAACTCAAGCCTAGCTAGTGGTGTGTGCTGGGGGCAAACAGGGAGCAGGAAGGAGAGGTCAAGTCCCGGGAGAACAGCCATGCTACAGAAACAACTGCTCCGCTAGCTCCTAGACACTGGACTCGCTGAGGTGGTCATTGATACCCAAACACACGCAGTGGGCACTAAAGGAAGGGGTGAGCAGTCTAGAGGATGCAGTAGCAGAGAGGGTCTGGATCATAGATGCAAATCTTGGCTCCACCCCACACACAGGTGCGCTAAGTCCAAACGTTCAGATACTAGCAGCCTGCCAGCCCCCACACACGACAGAAGGCAGACCCCACCCCATCCTAGCCCACCCACCCAACCGTGTCTGCGGTCCAAGGATCTACATTTATAGCTGAGGTTCTATGTGGTGGGAATGTGTGCTTGTCTCTAGAGAACAGGTGACATTGATCCCACTACAAACTGGGTCAAAGTCAGAGAAAGGGCCAGAACACACATCCAGATTGTCCATCTCTGGGGCGCCTTGCAGGGACAGAGCACCCAAAAGAATGCCCACAGATCAGTACCTTCCAGCTGGACAGCAAAACAGAATGAGCAGCAAGGACCCGAGGAACAGAGAGGGGCTCTCGAGGCAGACCCGCATCAACGGGAGAGCTATCTCCAGAGGAGGCCTCAGCAAGCCTGCTTTTCCCTTCTACCAAGCAATAAATGACATCTGTCCTGTGAGCCCTGAGCAACCTAAGCACCAGCCATCAGACTTGGAGTTTTAGGCTTACAATCTTGCCCAGGCCAAAGTACCAGGCAGGCAGCAGGCAACTGAGTCCCTCAATGACAAAATTAACCTTCACCCAGAAGTGACAGAACTGTCCCTACTCCAGCCATAGGAAGCAGGCCCTGCCCCTGTCGCCAATCTGGGCATTCTGGTACTGGCAGGTGAAGGGTCCTGCCAAAGGGCTGTGGCCATAGCAAAGTAGACGCAGCAGAGATGCAGTGTGCTCGTCCTGAAGCCAGAGCCCTACTTTTCTCAGCACAGAACTCATGGCCAATGCCTGAGAGGATCCTGGGGGCTATGTAGCTCTGAACACCAGCCCCAAACCTGTGAGGACTGCCCTGAGAACATTCTAGAAAGGTAGACGTCACCTCCCAGTACCTTCCTAAAAGGTCAACATACCCCAAAAAGGGTTAGTATGAGACCCAGTTGCTTGGACAGCTGGAGCAATGTAGAGAGGGTGGAGCAGGGCAGTCGGTGGGGGGCCTGACCTGAATTCTAGTTCCAAAGGGGCTATAAAACTTAGGGCTTTTCTCTAAAGATGAATGTGTTTCTCCCTTGTTTATGCAGTGATCTGGGCCCAGAAGTGTCCCCTGCAGCACTTTCTAAGTGCTGGAAAATTTGGCAGCAACCTAATTACACAACCCGAAGACTCCAGGGAAATAGAGCAGACTGCATTCCCAGCCAGGGATTCCTAGCCCCTCAGGAAATGATACTGCAAGGGGGACCACTTGAGCAGAACGTGCTTGGAAATACACAGTGCATGTGAAAGTAACAGTTTCCGAGCACACAGGATGAGGTAGACAAGTTGGGCTGAAGAAATATCTCAGCAGTTAAGAGCACTGCTGCTCTTCTCAATGAAGGCAAAACATGCAGGCAAAACACTCACAC